AGGTTGCTCACAATTACAAATCCCATCCAACTGGACCATAGTACGAAAAACTTGTGTTCTGGTATTGCTTTGACTTACACAGACTGAACTGATTATGCATGTTCAGTTAATGAGGAAATTCACTTTGCCCTACCTGGCTGTTGCAGCCATTTGGAAAGAGAACCAGCAAAGGAAGATCTCCCATCCCCTTCAAAAAAATAAATAACTCTTTTAACACTATCCATCCATTGTATCTATCTTTGAGAAGACTAAGACTCCCATCATGTGAACTGATGGCGCCCAGTGTAGAGCCTGTTTTAAGAAACTCCGTACGCAGTGCGCACCAGAGAGTTTAGTGTGCTGTTGTCAGAGTTCGAATTCCTCACTTGGGACACACAGCCTCGACCTCAGGACGCATTTCCTCCCTTTTCCTAGCATTTTACAAAGCCTACCACCACCTCACAGGACTTCAGGGAGGGACCCAGAATAACACCAGGCAGGGCTGTACTGGGGCTCCCCAAACCATTTGGAGCTCCCACCCACTAGCAATGTGCAGATTCTCACCAAGAGGAGGGTTTGTTCGTAAAAGCAGCGTTAGCTTTGTTTTCTCACTCACTCCTCAGTCATTTAGGAAAAAGAGGAGTTTTTAATGCTAAGTTGACTGTGTTTCAGGGGAGAAACGTAAGCATCCAGGCAGTTCTGTCCAAGTAAGAGCAATCCCTTCAAAACTCAAAGAACGCAAAATGTTCTCTCAACCAGGACAACAGATAAGAGTGAAAAAATAAATAAATAAATAACAGTTTAGGAGAGAGATAGTAACAAGCAAAAGATAACTTAACACCACGTAAGTGACTACAAACAGAATTTTAACAGCAAACACTCTTTGAATTGTTATTTACACTCTACTATATTATCCTACTAAAAATACAAACCAACTCCAAGATTTATGTTAAAAATGTGTTGTGGTGCACCAGGTTAAGCTGACAGCTGTGAGATGCCGGCATCCCACAGGAGTGCTGGTTTGAATCCTGGCTGCTCCACTTCCGATCCAGCTTAATGGGCCTGGGAAGGCAGTGGATGACGGTCCCAGGGCTTGGGCCCCTGAACCCACACGGCAGACCCAGGTGGAGTTCCAGGCTGCTGACTTCAGCTTGGCCCCGTCCTGGGTGTTGCGGATGTTTGGGGAATGAATCCCTGGATGAAAGATCTCTCTCCCTCTCGTGCTCTCTGTGTGTGTCTTTGTCTCTCCCTCTCTCTAACTCTGCCTTTCAAATAAATAAATCTTGTTTTAAAAAAGTTTTAAAAGAATGTTCACTGTGACTTCATTTGCTGTAAGCAAGAGACTGGAAGCAGTCAATGAAGTTAAAATGAGTTAAATAAAGTGTTCCTCTGTCATGGGACAATTTACAGCAAGCTCTTGGGAAGAGTGGGGCAGCTCCATGGCCACGGATCGAGAATAATGCACATGATGTGTTGTTAAGGAGGAAAAAGCAAGAGGCACAACCGCATGTGCAATGTGCTCCAACCCTGGGTATCCTCTGAACGGACCATGCAAGCATGCACTTTTATTTGCATAAAATACTGACCCAGGAAAACACTGAAGAAAATGCAAGAGAAACTAGTAATGGTGGAGACAGACTGGGGTAGGGGATCAAAGACTTATTTGTCACCTGAATACGGCTTGAGCTCCAAATGCCTCATTACTGAATGATTTTGATTTACCTGTCCTAAAATATGAAACTATTACATTGTGCAGTTGGAACGTGAGTCCACGAAGTACTAGCAAAGCCTCAGTCTCACGCCATCACTGTGAAGTGAGTGACAGCAGAAGGCTTGGCACTGGGGACAAACGAGCAGGAAACAGTAAAGAACAGAACCAAGAATGTACCCTTGGGAAACATGCCAGTGGGACACGCCTGGGAGTCCTCACCTACAGACTTAAACCCACCAATGTGCAAGGCGGTGGAACCACCCTGGGCAGCAAACACTGAAGCTGTAGTTACTTATGAGCTTCCCAAGCAAGCAAGCCCTGTTCCAGCTCCCGATATCCTCTGCACAGCCTAGATAACCTGATTCCTCCCTTACCTCCCCGGGTGGCTGATCCAGGCACGAGGGAACTTTCCTACACCGGCCCCTCTCCTATCTAAGCCTCTAATATTAATTGTTCCTACCTGATGACCTTAACCTCCTCTCTGCTCCCAGCCTCTGGCCCACATCTTTTGTGGTTCTCGAGCATCCACCTGCTCATTCAGGTTTTCTTTCCATCCCCAGCGATGCCAGCCAACACCCAACACGTGCATGACCTGTTTCAGAGAAAACCACATCACAGCAATGCCTAGGCTCCAGGACGGGAGGGCCTGGAATCCCTGACTCACTCAGGGTAGGGGTTGAAGGACTTCGACACATTAATAAGATGCCAATAAATCCCACTGAAGACAGGAAGAGTCTAACACCTAATCATCGAAGAACCCGAGAGATGGCAGGGAAAGGGGAGGAGGGACCAAGGGTTTGGTCTTCTCATTTGAACAAAGCAATCACAGAGTGGGCGATCCACTTTTCAATTCAGAAAAAGCAGGGGAGGGGTGGGTGTTGTGGCGCTGCCAGTTGAGCCTGTATCCAAGTGCCTGTCAGACTGAATCCTGCCTCTGCTTCTGGTCCAACTTCCTACGGCTGTGCACCCTGGGAGGCAGCAGAGGAAAGGCCCCTGCCACTCCCAGGGGAGACCTGGACGGAGTTCCTGGCTCCTGGTTTCCACCTGGCCCAGTCCCAGCTGTTGCGGGCATTTAGGGAATAAACAGACGAGTGGAAGATTTCTTTATGTTTCTCTCTCGCTGCCATTCTGCCTTTGAAATAAATAAATAGAAGAGCAGAGAACAAAGGGGAAAAGGGCAGATGGAGAGAAAGATCCGCTCGGGATACACACTGGTGTATCTACAGTCCTCCAGTCTTTGCCCCTCATCAACGCCCTGGCCAAGCCAGGAGACTGCTGACCCAGCAGTACATCTTTTTTGCTGCATCTGGATTGTGAGCAGGAGGACTGTTGGCAAAGCTACATCCTAGAGACAGAACTAAAAGAGAATGGCTTCAAGTGCCATTGTAGCAGACCAAATTTACTCAGCTGATGAAGAAAGTTCTCGATTGGCATAGTCCCTGGAATGAAAAGCCTACTCCAAATTTGCAAGGCATGTCTGCCGGCCCTGCTCCTTGAACTAGATCGCGTCTAATTCAAGATTCAGGACTGTCAGACCTGGCTCCACCCACTTCTAGATGCTTCCTCGGCCACATCCCAATCGAACTCCGACCACACGCATCTTTCAGTTCCTCAAACTTGACGTGCTTCTGTTCCTTTCGGGACTTCTGCACAGCCTGTGCTGCTGGCCCAGAATCCTCTCTGACCAACCTTCTGAGTGGTTCAGTGCTTTGTTTTAAACAAAGTTTAAAGGACCTTGCAAGGACGGCAGCCTACGTGTCACTTCAGGGATGTGTTCCCTGTTGAGTTCAGTTTCCCCATCACACCCTCTGAGAACCACACACAAATCTTGAGACCAGCTGCCTGCTGTACATCCCCTGCTAGAATACACGCTCCAGGTGGCAAGTGCCAAACCTTAGCACAGAACAGCGCACAGAGGACATATCCGCAGTGTTTCTGAGATGGCCAAAATGAAGAGAGATTAATTTAAGGTCCAGAGGAAAGCAGCAGGAACAGAAAATACCAGGAGGAAGATAAAACCACCAGATAACAGAGCTGAAACTGACCAAGATACAGAAATAATGCCAATTAAAGCTGAGTCCATGTGCTGAGTCCATGTAAGGAGCTCCAAGAGGGACAAAAAGGCTCCAGTCACGGGAACACCAATGCACATTTTGGTTTACTCAAGCAGTCACATGAGTTTTTTCCTAGTTCAAGATCTCCAGATAGGATATGAAATATACACTGTTACGACGCAAGGGTGGAGAAACTTTTTTTCTGCTAAGGGCTATTTGGAGATTTCTAACATCATTCGTGGGCTATACCAAAATACCAACTTAAAAATTAGCCTGCAGTAGATTTATTGAATGTTGAGTCTTGCCTGGGTTGCCTTGGCAGGGCCAGACCAAATGATTCTGCCGGTTTTATACGGCCTACAGGCCAGATGTTGCCCACCTCTGCTATAGAAACATGAGGGGGATAAAAAGACACCAGGGGATGTGTCTCTGGTGTTCATCTGTGAGTTAAAGTATTTAACGCAGTTTACAAGAATATCTAGCATCATTACTACTTTTTTTTTTTTTTTGACAGGCAGAGTTAGTGAGAGAGAGAAAGGTCTTCCTTTCCGTTGGTTCACCCCACAAATGGCCACTCCGGCCAGTGCGCTGCGCCGATCCAAAGCCAGGAGCCAGGTGCTTCCTCCTGGTCTCCCATGTGGATGCAGGGCCCAAGGACCTGGGCCATCCTCCACTGCACTCCCGGGCCACAGCAGAGAGCTGGCCTGGAAGAGAAGCAACCAAGACAGAATCCGGCGTCCCAACCGGGACTAGAACCCGGGGTGCCGGTGCCACAGGCAGAGGATTAGCCTAGTGAGACAGCTAGCATCATTACTTCTATGATTTCTTCTAAATCCCTTAAATGCACTCAGCATCATTTAAACAAAAACACAACAGTCTGTCCTACTTTTTTTTTCTCCAAAAACTAATGCACCAAAACATTTTACCATAACATCTTAGCAACACTTCCTGTAGATTACAAATGGCATTAAGAAACCATAAAAGAAACTTCGTTGTGGCAACAAAAAAAAAAAAATGCCAAGGTGAAAGATAAATGACAAGTGGGAAATTTTTCTGAAACTCAAAACTGGAAAAAGGAGCAAGTCAGTGCAATATATAAAGGGTGCCGAGAACAGCGGGTAAGGGAAAAACCAAGGTCCCAAAAAGGCAAATGAGGAAAGATAGGAAGCAGGCAGAAAAACATGAACAACCCTTTCCAACATGGGAACATAGGAAGAGACGCTTACCCACCCCAAGGAACAAACCAAAGACCATACCAGGATGCCATCTTCCGCTGGCCGGAACGGCACAGCCCGCATTGGCTAAAACCCACTGGAGCATGGAATGGGGCCACACGCACTCCCTCACACATCCTGCTAACAACATAAGTGCAAGTGCACCAAAGACCTGCCAAGGACACTGTGGCAGCATCAATCAAAGAACATACCTGTAGGGCCTGTGACCTAACAGTGGCCCTTCTGGGAACTGACCCAGAGAGGCAGTGTCACAATGGAAGGAATTCCTCTGTACTCCACTTGCCTGGGTGTGACGTCTGGCAAATCACTCAACCCTGCCAGAACCTCAGTTTCCTCATCTGTAAAGTGAGGATAATAACAATGGCTGCTTCACAGAAGTGACGCGAGGATTAAGGCTCTCAAAAGGACTGCTAGGAAATGCACAAAACCACCCATGTTCCAGGCGACCACCACGCTGTGGGACCAAAGACGTCCACCCAATAGATGATTATACAACTGGGAAAAATAAGGAAGACATCCTGTCTCGGGGTGGAAAAAATCTGCAAAATCTGCAAAGCCTAACTAAAGGCAGCCTGTGTGTGTTTGTGGGCGGGGAACAGAACAAAGTATAATACACTTCAATATATTAAAGTACAACATCCACCACCTTCTGTGTTGAAGGCAAGGGTGACATTTACTGCTGATCCGATTCCAAAGATCAAGTCAAGCTAAAAGAGCAGGTTTCAAGGTGAGCATTCTATGAAGCCTGTAAGTACTCACAAATGAACAGACCGGCAGTCCTGGGTCAAAAGCGACTGTGGACTTGCTTAGGTATTTTGGAACCCAAATCTCTAAGTGCTCAACTGCTTGATCCTTTTCCTCCTTGGCCAAGGAACCGAGAGAGGAGAAAGAACCCTGGCCTGGGAGTCAGGCCATCTGCCTTGAGTCCCACCTGTCCCATTTACCGCCCCACTCCCTGGCCAGCAACTCAGGATTGTTTCCCATGCTGCCCAGAGCCTTGGTTTTTCTTAGGTGAGGCTCCTGCTACCTACCCCACCTCCAGATGTGCTGGGAGACTCAACCGAGAAAGTGCAGTTGAAAGGACCGCATAGATGCTGCACAAGCTGGGGATGCAGAGGGCTCCTTTCTCCACCTGCCCTGTAGACACAGGTCTGCACACCCTGCCCACAGCTTCCTCCCTGGTGCTCTCGGCCCTGCGAGGCTTCACACAGAACACCACAGCAGACTTTCTGGAAGCCAGAGATGCCAGCGCATCCTCCCAGGGCATCCCCAGTAGGAAGCTTCCAGGGAAGCAGCATAGGATGCCCCCCTTCAGATCACCTTACAGGGCAGGTTTCCGGCTCACACGGGGACTGGCACCTGAAACTGACAGTGCAGTGCACCTGCCTGCGTACCTTACAAGGCGGGTTAGGGCTGGGCCAGCAGCCTCAGAGCAGAGGGGGGAAGCAGAAGCAGGGATGCCTCTGGCCCAGAAAAGCCAGCACTGCTGCCTTTCAAACACAAACCTACCAGGGGCGACACTGCTGCAAGGCCTGGATGGCGACACAAGCCGCACTCTATGGATAAGCGCTGTCAACACGGACCATGGGTTCCTAGAAGCCTGCGGCTGGCAGTCTCGCTCCACTTTTGCGAGTGCTTGGAAATTTCTAGCACAAACACAGTTTCAACAAAATCTACTATTAGGACAAAGGCAGACTTCACAGCAAGGGAATGTGAGAAGCGTGTTGTGACAGCCGGGCTGACAGCGTGCCTGACTCCAGGGCTTGGAGACACGGTCCCCAGGTCACTGATATGGGCAGCAGACTCATCAGAGCTAGGGCCCAAGGCGGTGGAGAATCCAACACCATTTGCCCAGCATAAGAGTTTTTTTTAATGGTTTATTAATTAATTAAATGTGCAAGTGAGAGAGAGAGAGAGAGAGATCTTCCATCTGCTGGTTCACTCCCCAGATGTCCCTAACAGCCAGGGTTGGTCCAGGCCGAAGCCAGGAGCCTAGAACTCCATCCAGGTCTCCCACGTGGGTGCAGGGGCCCAAGCGCATGGCCCATTTTCTGCTGCTCTCCCAGGTGCATCTGCAGGGAGCCAGACTGGAAGTGGAGCAGCAGCGGGGAGTCTAATGGCACTGCTCATATGGGATGCCTGCATCTCAGCGGCTTAACCCCCTGTGCACGAGGCCAGCCCCACTCATCCTAAGCGCTGCTGATATGGGCTGTGCACGCCTCTGCAGAGCTGCTGGGGCACCTGCCGCTGCACACCACCGGTTACACAGCACGTGCCAGGTGCTCCTGGCCTGGCAGATACTCAGTGTGGCACTTCCGGCCTGGCGCTCCTGGAGGGATAGGCACACCCACCACATGGAGAGCCTTGTGTGAGAGGGGCTTCGAAGGCAGGAGAGAGGGGCAAACCTCAGGCTCAGTCCCATCGCCCGGAGCTGCAAGGCACGCTCCAGATAGAGCCTGCTGCTCTACGCGGCCAGGCCCCTGTCTGCACCGGGGCTTTCCTGGGAGGCCTTTCAGCCCAGTTCTCCTCAGCAAACAAGAAGCCTGAGTCCTCGGGCATCTTGTCCCCTGGGAGGTGCTTGAGAGCTGCCCAGGCTGTACACAGCTCCTCCACTTGCGCATCTTCCTGAGCCAGTGCTGCCCTCCGGCCCGGGAAACCTCGCCGCCTTCAGCCTGCTACGCGACATAAGGGTGACCTCTGCAGGCTGCACCTGCCCCTGCTGGAACTCCACCAACTTCCTGCTGGATTCGGCCAGGAGAGGCCTCTCTAGAACTTTACTCCATCTGGGGCAGCACCGTGGTTTCAAGGCCCACTCTGGGCCCTGCTGCCTCTGGGCGACCCCAGCTCAGGTTCTGCTCACACCAGCTCCTCACCCGGTCCTGCACACGGGCTGTGGTGGCAGCATCCTGCTGCTGTCTCACTGCCCACCCTAACCCACCTCTCTCCTCCAATCAGCTTCTCAGTTTACAGTCCCCCCTTACTCCATGTGGCTTCTGTGTGCACCCTGAATGACAAACCGAGCACCCTTCTTCACCCCGCGAGCGGCGACTGCTTTCCTGCCCGTCTCTTTCACAGCGGGCACAGGGTCTTCGTGCGCCGTGGACGGCCACAGCAGCACTCTCGGTTATTACTCGCACCCTGCCTTGCCCTGGAAAGGACATTTCCAGCTTAGAGCTGACACCTGGTAGGTGTCCAAAAAGTGAGTTAAATCAAGAGTGGCCAATGACTTATAAAAGCCAGAGGACGGCCCCAAGGAGGACAACACATCTAAGGGAGAGAAGAAGTGTTCTTCTGAACGGAAGTCGATGATGAGCACTCAGCACCCAAGAATCAGAGCAACTGCCCAGACATCAGGCACAGACTTGGATTATGAATAAAAAGCCAAGTAACTGCTGTAGCCCAAACTCCTACAAGGAGGCTCACAGACCCATCAGAGAAGCAGCACAGTGGGGAAGAGACTGTCAAATCCCGGCCCCACCACCCACCAGCGGACCCTGTCTAGTCAGCTTCTCTGCACCTGTGCGGCAGGTGTGCCCCACAATTTGGCTTCAAGGGAGACATCAGGTTGGGATGCACTGGCTTCACTCGTCACTACGTGCAACTTAGACTAGGAGGTTCCAAGCCAGCTGCCATCTGAGCAGGAAGTAAGTAGGGAAGAGCAGCTGAGAGAGGCGATGCCCAGGACACCCTTCCTCTCAAAAGCCTGACCAAATGCTGGCCGTCAGGCATTAGCCCTGGATTCCAATCAAGTCTTCCTGGTCGACGCAAGAGAAAAATGAGGCCCCAGATGGACACATGACAGATGCCTGGTGCCACAACAGTGACAGACTGAGATCTGGTTCTCCTGGTGCCATCCAGGCTCAGGACAGGACAAATGAAACAAGGGGGTTGGTCACAGCTGGCCAAGGAGGAGGAGACACCTGAGACACAATCACATTGCTTCCAGAGCTGGAAGGAGCCCCGTTAAGGACAGGATGTCTTCTGAAATAGCAGCCCAGCCTTGGGGAGAAAAGAGCAGAAAATAAACCCATCAGAGCCAGTGCTGTGGTGTATAGCGGGTAAAGCCGCCACCTCCAGTGCCAGTTCCCCATATGGGCGCCAGTTTGAGTCCCGGCTGCTCTCTGCTATAGCCTGGGAAAGCAGTAGAAGATGGTCCAAGTTCTTGGGCCCCTGCACCCGCATAGGAGACCCAGAAGAAGCTCCTGGCTCCTGGCTTCAGATCACCACAGCTCTGGCCGTTGCGGCCATCTGGGGAGTGAACCAGCGGATGGAAGACCTCTCTATTTGGCTTTCCTTCATTCTCTGTGTAACTCTGATTTTCAAATAAATAAATAAATCTTTAAAAAAGAAAGAAAGAAACCCATCACCCCTGACTGAGAGGGCAAAGTCCTGTGCTGAACGTGTCTTGAGGACTTCCGCACAGCGCATCACTCACCCCCAGATGCGCACGGTTAACACACCCTGATCCCTTTTCAGAGGAGGAGGGAAGGTGGCTGAGGGGTCAGCCAAGTTGCTCCAGGATTTTACAAGTAGGAAGGAGCACAACTGTGAGTCCTAACCCAAGTCTTCCTGGTTTGGGGGCTGTCAGGTAAACTACTGGTTGCCCAGGTAAACTTGACTTTCCACCCAATGAGCAGCCATGTGTTTCAGAACAGGTATGTTCCATGCAACAGCTGGAATACACATATAACTTCTCCCTGCCCCCCCACCCCCACCCCGCACTGGTCATATAGAATTGAAATACGGCTATGCGTCCTGTGGTTTTCTTTACTAACCTTACTAATCCTACTTGGTTTCCAACTCTCTCCATACACCAAGTTCTCCCAAGGACTTCTGGGGTGGAAAATTAGAAAAGAGTTAACGAATGAAACTGAAAGGAGGGAAAACTCAGAAGTGGTCCAACAGTGAACACTACTCTGCCACTCGAGAGACGAAAAGCATAAAAACAAGAGCAGGACATTGAAAACCACAGAAAACGCACACTGTACTTTGGGAAACCAATAAAAACCTCCTGGTTTTCATCTGTGGGCAAACAAGAGAAATCCAGTTCCCTCTCCACATCACCCACTAGGTGCAAACGACCTAGAGCTGCCAGGCTCTGAGCCAAGGAAGAAGCCACCAAGTAAGGGATTACTGTCATTAGCGCTAATCTTCCTCACCTGAAAAAGAGCTCAACGGGCAGGCAGGTGCTCAGACAAGCAACTAGGGACGGAGGCAGAGAGAAAGCAAAGGCTTCAAGTCCCTGATGGACAGGCAAGAGTGCAACAGAAAAGGGTATTCCCCAGCTCAGGCCCGCTTAGGTGACTTGCTCATTCACAATGCAAGGCGAGACCCAGAATGAAACAACTCTTTCTCATTAGCAATTCACCCCCTTCCCAAGGCCTTCCCATCAAGCCAATAAAAATCACACAGCATCCTGGTGAAAAGCATATCCCTCAATCTGCAGAAGAATCTCCAGGCTACCAGGAGTCCTCCATAGTCAGAGAAAAACACTGCCTCCCAACGACCTGCCGCAGTTCGTAACCCAGGGCTGCGTCCTTCCACGCTGGGCTCATCAGTGTCACAGATATTCACATGCTGTTTCTGTTCTTTAAATCAGCAGCTAAGCTGAAGTGGAGGGAGGAGGGCGTGAGCCATCAAAGTCCACCTTCCGGAATCCGTACCCCATGAACTAGGTCCAAAGTCACACATCAGAGAAGCCAGCTTTCAAAATCCTATCTCCCTGCCCACAGGGCCACAGGCAGGGAATTGGGACAAGGCACACACTGGCTCCTTTTTCAAGAAATAGGGGAAAGAACTCCACAACAGACCTACGGGGGAAAATCACCAACCCTACAGGCGGCTTGCCTGCCTTCTGCAGTCCTACTGCTGTTGCACCAAAGCCCGGGAACTCCGCCAAGCTCCTCAGCACCCCAGAGGGCGGGAGACACGCAGGTCCTAAGAAGCTGGGCTGCGGGGCTCCGCAGCCTGAGGTCAACAAGGATACTTGGAGCCGCCTCAACGATCCTCCCCCAGCCTTGGCAAGGTTATTTTTTTCAACCATCACCTTACAGGGTTTCCTAGAACAGAACCGATACTGAAATGTGTTTTGGAAGACCATGGAAACTGTGTGAGGATGGGGTGGGGACCCATCGTCGTTAGCACCCACGTCTACGGGAGCAAACACGTTCCTCTGTGCTGTCTTGGTTGATCCTCCCAACAACAGCTGGATGGAAGCAAGATGTGTATCAAGCCCACGGGCAAGTCATCAGAGGCCCACGGCAAGTCAACAGTGG